CGCGCTTTCAACTTCTACTGAAAATTGGCATTTTGCCTAGGCCAAAACGCGGTTTTCTCTGCTTTCCCCCCTAGAAATTCGAATGACACATGATCAGCAAAGGTGCTGTGCACAAAACCAGCAGTGTTTGATGGTTCAAGTGAGAGTTCTGGTGCTCAATGTGACCGAAACACCACGGCATTCTACACACCGTGGACATAGTGCCAGTAGTTTGTCAGCTGTCTGTTTGGCAAGGGAAGCAATGCAGCATTTGGGCCAAACCCTCCCAGCTCCGAATGCAGGACACCCATTCTGCTGCAAAAAATGGCATGGAACCACAACATCAAGCAAGATGCGAGTAATCAAAGAAGCACGTGGGATCACCTCAGCCAAGAGTGTCCTTGGCAACGGCGTCATTGATGGCCACATGCCCCTGCTCGTCCGCCATATTCGGGTTGGCCTTGCCTCCCGGAATCCAGCCATGGCCCGAATTGATATGTTTGGCCTCTTTGCGACCTGATTGGCCGGCGCACTCTATCACGTGCTCATGTTGCTGTTCCTAGTCAATTCTCAAACTTGCATCAGGTTCAGAAATCTTCCGTGTTCCGAGCACCACATAAACCTCACTGGCCGAGTGGATGGCCCAAAAAAAGTTCAAAATTTATAATTACCACTAAAATGACCTTCCCAAAAAGTTTAAAGTTCATGAACTCAGGAAGTGAGATATATATATATATGTATCCTTTAGAACACGCAGACAGGACGTCATGTCCCCTCCCCACAGTGCAATTCACTGACTGCCTGCATGGCGTTCAGAGAGAAAGTTGCACAAGCTGAACTAAGACGCGTCAGGTGGTCAGGCTCAGCCTCGCCAAACACATTGGGAAAAATGTCAGCCCCCCTCTCTCCAACAATGATGGGTGGTTGTTGGTGTTTGTTTGACCAGTTTTCCGACAAACAACCAAGGCCTCGCCCACTTCCGCGAATGCTGGAAAGAGGGTGACGCTGAAATCTCGAGTTGTTGCTCGCTTTGCGCTTAAAAAAAACGTGAGCAAGTTGCCTCTTCCCAAGACTCTCTGAGTTTCGCTGGCCCCAGGTTCTTTGCTCACGAAGCGTGGGTAGCTGATTAGGAAGCTTCCTGACCAAAACACAAGTCACAGCTTTTTGGCCTCCCCATATTGCTGCACACCCGTGTGGGGAGTTTTCTGGGAACCCCATCTTCAGTAATTAAACCTTAGCATGCAACACAAGTTGGTCTCAGGCCCATGGCAATGAACGACCATCAACACACAAAAAGGGGGTTTTAGATTGAGTGCCACCCAACCCCAACTGGGCGGAATTTTGTTCGTCCCCATTTTCTTGGGGACTCCACCCGGTTAGGACTCGACTCGACCCATTTTCGAGACCCATCCCATCGCGCCCTTGAGCAGCAGCTCCGCAGCTCCGGCGTGGCCGTTCCTCACCTTGCTTGACGTTGGAAGGGGAGCAAAAAATCAAATTTTAGCAGTGTAGTGGATTTGGATTTCCCACATTTTCTAAAATTTTGGCAGTTAGTTAAGTGGATTTGGATTTCAACCACTAAACCACGAGAAGCAAAAAATGTAAAACATGTTTCCCAACATTACCGCCATGTCACCGCCAGGTGCAGCGGGTGGGTCTGGGTGAGGTCCACCGCCCGCGCCTGCGCGCCCTTGTCCAGCAACAGCCTCGAGCCAGCGTCAGTGCGTCAGCGATGCAGCGATCGCCACCCCAAAAGAGGAAGATGGGAGCGGCGGGCAGATTTTTTGTTTTTCCTGCTGCGGGAAAAAAAGGCGGACTTGACTGGATGGAACACTGGGCAGATTCTTTTGGGTTTCCTGCTACGGAAAAAAAAGGCGGACTTGACTGGATGGAACACTACAAAAGGCAGAAAGGTCAGAAGGTATGCAAGGTTGGCAAGTATTCATGCCAAATTGTTTGGCCCTATTTCGACTTGGATGTCCTTGCTTAGAAGCAGCCTGGCCCAGGGTTGCGGCCTACCCTCAAAGACCCCCAGCCCCCAACAGTTGGGCTAAAACATGCACCAAATCAGGAAACTCTCAAGGTCAATTAGGTCGATTCGCTTCGGGCGAGCAAAATAACTACTCAAAGTCTAGTTTTTGTGAACTAAGCCACGTCCTTGCCCAACCTGGCTCACCCAGGTCAAACCAACAAGTCCCCTTTTTCCCGGCCGAGCCACTGGACCACGGAGGCGTAGCCCATGTGTGCGGCCGCATGCAGCGCCGTGCGCCGGGTGCCGTCGTGGACCTCGCAGCTCACCTCCGCGTTCTTTCGGAGGAGGTATTTGCAAACGTCCTCAGCGCCGCTGAAGGGTCTGGAACACCTAAGGGTGCCTCCCAGGCCTGATTTGGGCAGATTCTTTCAGAGATTTCAGATATAATGCGGGTGCTGGATGAGGGACCCTAATTAATGGCGTTAAGGGAGTGAAGGCCTTATTGGAGCAAATTCCTCAGAACGCAGGTGCTGAAGGGTCTGGAACACCTAAGGGTAAGTCCCTGGCTTGGCTGCGAAAAGGGGTTCCTTGGTGCATCCCTAGGTGGATTTGTGGCAAGGGTGCGTTTGGGACATCTGGAACCCGGACGAGTTACATGCGTGCCGGTTCTAATCTGTGCTCCGTTGGGGACATCTGCTTCCAGAGACCTGACAGATATGTTGACATCTGTGCCCTGTCAAATCCGCACTGCCTGAGTGGATCGGCCCGAACGAGTATGTCATGTTTGTCTACCATGAAAACAGCCCAGAAAGCACAGAGTCCGGAAACTTAGGAACGGAGAGAGAGAGAGAGAGAGAGAAAACAAACGAAGACAACCTCGTATGTCCAAACATCTTTAGCGTTGAGACATTTTGAGACCCATCGGCATGAGCCCAAAGAGCCGTGGCGCGGGAAGAAAGAAAGAAACAAATAAAACAAAACGCAAAGGATTGTTAAAGCACCTTCTAGAAGACAGAGGTTGCGTCCCATGATTCCGGTGGGATTCGGGGATCATGTCAGGTCAGTGTGCCATGGACTGCAAGAACACCTGGTTTGTGTTTCCAACCAAGACAGGTCTGGCCTTCGAACGGATTCCTGATATTTCCCGCGTAAACATCACCCCAAGAGACCCGAAGAGGACCCTCATCTCAAACTGGCTTCAAAGAACAGTTGGGTATCTTAAGGCTCTTAAGCCGGGGACCCGAAAAAGGGCGGTTGCCCTTTGGGTTCCTTCCCAAGAAAGAGTACACTCAAAAAAGATGAAATTCAATTTGTTTGGGGAGAGGGCGAGAGAGACAGAGAGAGAGAGAGAAAGAGAGAGAGAGAGAGCAAGAGAGAGAGAGAGAGAGAGAGAGAGAGAGAGAGCCAGAGAGCAAGAGAGAGAGAGAGAGAGAAAGAGACAGAGAGCGAGAGAGAGCGAGAGAGAGAGAGAGAGAGAGAGAGAGACACCCCTGTTCAACGTTTCTGGAGTCCCCTCGCTTCGACTGGCAAAATGCACGCCGGCGCGCCAAGTGCCCGCAGTTGGCTGCCGCGATCAAGGGCGTCACTCCCACCTCGGGCTCGGGCAGGTTCACGTCCGCCTTGGCCTGAAACGCCAGCTGGGTGTCGATTTTTGGCTCAGGGCACGAGGGGGAACCAAAGGGGAACCCAAAAGGACACCCGCCTTTCTTGGGGGGTGACCCGGCCCTGATATTGTCACTCATACCCATCTGGACAGAATGGCCTGCAGCAGCTCAGCCGCCACGGTGAGGTTCCCCTGCTCACAAAGCCGCCTCAGGAAGCTGGCAGCACAAGCTGGCACCCTGCAGCCTTGTTCAGACCCCAAAGAATCCATGTAGGTATGGCTCAAACTGAAAGAGCTGGGGCTACGCGGGTTTTAGTCTCCCGTTCCATTTGGCAAGGTGCCATTTTGGTACCACTTTTTTGAGCCACAGCCATGTATGCACTACTTATCCACTTTTATCCTCTCCCAATGGGCCAAATATTGGTACGGGTTACCCTCCCAACATTTTTCACGTAGAACCTGACTTTTTAGAAGGGAGCCCCGGAAAAGACAAATGTTGGGAGGGCAATGTATGCCAACATTTGGCCCATTTGGGGGGAGAGAGGGTTAATGTGGATTAATAGTGCATACGTAAATTGTGTAAATTATCATAATCACGGCTTGTCGGAACGACCACAATGTTTCCCAAAGAAATCGGTCTGTGTTGGTGAATCCGGCAGAAAACACAAATAATATGGTCAGTGGCTCACGGTTCCGTCAATTGAAGCCTTATTTCGGGTTGACTTAGTGCTCTGTTGGGAGGGGGGGTCCCTGAAAATCCCCGCCAGCCCCAAGTAGAGGTTGCTTTTTCCAAGCACGGCACATCCAAAAACCACCAGGGAACACGAGGTCATGAGGCCGTTTCGCGCACATGTCCTGGGAAGCTTAACGGGTTTGCCCCCAAAGGCCCATCTAAAGGCCCAAGCGCAAAACACAAGGCCCACCTAGAAATCGCAAGGGAACCACGCACCGCGGGAAAGCAACAAGGAAAACCAAAGGAAAAACCAAGAGGGCTAACTACAGATGGAAAATCAGCAGGGAAGCCAGAAGGGAAGAAGCAACAAGCGCAAAGCAATAAAGGAAACAATAATAACAAAGGGAACGCCAAGAGAGAAGGAACCCAACCAGAAAGAGACACGCACAAGGAGACAAACAAACAAGAACACACTCAAGTCAGGCAACACAAATGCAACTCAGCAATAAACACAGAAACAACATACACAGTAAACTCGCAAAACACAGGTTATGTTACATGTTTCTGTGGGTCTCGGGTTGCATCCGAGCCGCACCAGGCACTTGGCCGCCAAAGCCGTGCCGTCAAAGTCCTCAGCTTAAAGCTGCGGGCGAGTCAGGCCGTGGTTTTACCACCTTTGACTCACTTCCTGAGTGGGTTGGCACCAACACGAAATTTGTATGTGCCACCAACAGGTGTTTCCCCGAAAGTATGAAGTCCAGGAATTCGCGGAGAGAGTTCATCGGCTTATTGTCTGAACAATCTCCGTTCAGAAGGCGCCCAAATAGGGGCCATCTGGTTAAACAAGTTCTGACCAACCCCAGCAAGACGAGAGACCAGGAACTGGCACTGCCTTCCTTTCACCAACTGGGTTCATCTTCAGCATCCTGAAAAAATATGGGCCAAGGTTGAAGGACAATTCCCAAGAGAGGTTTGAACACCGGCATGGTGTAATCAAGAATCTGGCAAATCATCATCCGAACCACCAATTCGGGGATACATATTCCCACTTGCCCTAGTGGCCCGAGAGGCAACAAAAGGGAAGCCTGTTTGGGGGGAAATTCCGTTTTGACTGAGAGGGCCCCCTAAACAAGGTGCTCGAAATATTGCTTTGGGGCGCAGCACCCTCTTTCCGACCATTTTAGAAGTCGACCGGGGGCTTGCCCCAGAAGGAAACAACTCCCTCCTGTCAGCTTCTACGAATGCTGGATATGGCTGGAGGAAGGCTACCTGCTCCTCTGGGAAGCCAGCTTTGCACCAAAGGCCTGACTTATGTTGACCCTGGAAGAATCAATCTGATTAATTCTTAAAGATGTGCTCCTGAAATGGGACAACTCGTATGAATCAACATTAAGCCTGGGCTCCCAGTATCAAACTTACAATTCTGCCCCATCACCAGGCAACACCCATGAAGGGTGTCATGAAGCCTGAAATGGAGCTTGCAACCCCTTTCATGAGCAACAAAAACTTCTGGCGGCCAAGCATGTCCAGCACCTCAAAATTGCCATCCAAGGCGCCGGCACCTGGGTGAAGTCCTGGTTCACGTCAAAATCATTCCTCATGGCCAAAACCGATCGGTATTCAAATGGGTGGTCAAACATAGGTGCTGAAAATGGAACGCGGATAAATGGAAACAAGGACTAACACCTGCAGTCCCCTGGTCATTAAACTTGGACCCATACCCAAATGGCCTGCCCAAATCCATGATGTGAAGAACTAAAAGGCAAGCCTTACCTCTTGATCTATTTGTGCATGGAAGTGTCCCTCACCACCCTTAAGCTTCCTGGGTTCATATTGTGGCTCACTGTCGAAGGACCTGGGATTCTACACGGCTAATCGGGTTGCTGCGTCAAAATGGACCAAAGCCACCCCGTGTAACCAAAGACGCAACTAAACACAAAGTACCCATTTTTTTCAGTTCTGACCACTTTCCGAGGTGAAGCAGCAAATGAGGCACCCAAAAACCAGGCACCTCAAAAGAAGATTCCTGAATGAGTTTTGGGGGCCCCATGCTGATCTCCAAAACCGGAACCCTTCCTTCCAACAAAAGCGGAGGGCACCAGCCAGATCAGCTTCTTGAAGGGACCTGTGCGGTGCCCAGGAAAATAACCTTGACGGATTCATAGACCCCTGTCTATTCATATGGGCGTGTTCCCCTCCAAAAGTGATACATCCCACTAAAACCAGGGACACCCCCATATTAATAAACAGGGGTTTGTCCATCCGGGGTCAACATTTCCTGATTTGGACCCGCCAAAGCCGAGAAGCTCCACCTCTTGCGCATTGATCGCCCGGGGCTTCGGCGCAAACTTGCCCGCGGCAACGGTTCCCGCCGCATTTTGGACGGCGGCAGGCTTGGCATCGCCCGCGGCCACGTGCTCGTCCAAGAGCTTCTTGAGGGAGGCCATGAATTGACCTCTCCTCAGGTCTGCGAAAGGAAAAAGTCGAGGTCTTAGGGACCTCTGTAAGAGAGATTTCCCAAAACAACAAACAGGGAAATCAAACCTGAGGTGTTGCTGAATACTGATGTGGTAAGAGGGAAACCAACTGGACACCAACCAGTTCGCCGCGGCTTGCCTAAGTGCGAGACAAACTCAAATGCGAGGAAGATCCAGTTGCTATTGTGGGAGTTGACGAATGTGAACCAAAATCGTGCTGTGTGTGCAGCTTTCCCGCGCATGTTCGCAAGCGGCAAATCGCGTGGCACCGTGGGAACTTGCGGGCAATTTCTAACAAGCCGCCACTTCACCAATTAACAAACAAGGCAACATTCTTCGTGTTTAGCTGGTCTTGGAATGCTTTAGGCCGACAAAGTGGTGGGCTGGCACGTTCTTCTTTGCCTTGCTCCAGTCCTCGTTGCTGGTTGCAGGGAGGGGTCTTGGCTGAAGGGATTGGTAGACAAGAGTTGCCCTCCCACCAAATAACGTGGAACCTGACAGGGGGGTCCTGGAAGATCATTTTCCTTTTCAAGTGACCTGTTGTCAGGTTCCATGTGACTTGTTTTAAGCTTGGAAAATGGGCAGCGTCCGCCAGTGCGAGGAAAACATGGGGCCGAGGTCCCCCAAACCAATTTGCTAAGCCTGGTCAGCCAAAAGCCCGCCCAAAGCCACAAACAAGCATCAAACGGGCGGATCCTTCACACTCATCTATGGCAAGGGCGAGCGTCACCTGCTAAAAGTTGTGATTTGGTGGCAAGGTTGCCAGGAGCTTCAACTGTTGGAGGTCTCAAAAGCCTCGAAGGTAAGCAACTCCGCACGGAAACTGAAGCTGTTGGAGGTACTGGGCACTAATTTTCTTCGAACTAATTTTCGTCGAACAATGAGCCAAGTTTGGGCGCCAAACCTCTGGGCCTGCTGGGTGGCCCATGGCCCGCCTGCGTTCCACGAAGCCGGTGGCCGCGATCTTGGCGTCCTGGGAGGCTTGGCGCAAGTCCCCGAGCACTCGAAGCAGCACCTGGCCGGCGCCCCTAGACTTCCAACAAATATGAAATGAATAGCCGAGGTGGCAAAGCACATTTTCTGGGATCAGGTAATTGCTTAAATTAGGTCGGATCAAGATTTTACCTAGGTTTCTGGCTCTGTTTCTGGGTCGGGCTGTGGGAAATGGAATCCTCTTCTGTCATGCAACAATTAAAAGGGCTTCCCAAAGACTAACTCCCCCATATAACGTGGGAGAAGTGGGGATAACCCTCTTGATCCCACCCTGTTTCTGGGGGTCATGGGGTTGTCAAGGCCAGTGACTGCGGTTGTTGCCCTTCCACCCACTTGGGAGGTGACTTGGATGATGGGAATTACAATGATCAAAGTCAGTCCCCAATGGTTTTCGCGGGAAACAACCTACAAGTTGCGCAACAGAACCGTCACAATGACTCCAGGGGTACCCGTTTTTAGGTGGTGAGGAAGAAAAGGAACGCCGCCAGTTGTTTTTTGAGGTCGCTGATTTGAGAAACCACCCGTCAATACAAAGGCCTAACTGCAAGGGCCTGAATACATACATACTGTAGAATTGGGTTACGGGGTACTTTAAACCACATTTAGTCATTTCTATTTTAGTCAACTAGTAGCAATCATTTAGCCCCTTAAATTAGTAAGTTTTGCCCGGAAGACTTTGAACGTTTAAAGTCCGGCTTGGGACCAGTGAGCTTTGGCTTGCGATACCAGCACAAACGCTTGCCGCAATGGCCTTGGTAGGTGTTCATGCACTTGAAGTTCAACAGCTGTTTTTGAAGACGGTGTTGTATAGAAAGGACGAGGCTTCTTGTGTTGACATAGCTTGTTAAGAAAAAATGAAAAACAAAAAACATGCCAAATGGACAAGCTCCCCGCTGGGCCTCAAGAAGCTTCTGCACGTCGCTCTCCTCCGCCACCTTCTGGTAGTTCTCCTGGGGACAAATGGGGAGGAGTTACCATCACAGGCGCTTCGCGCAACAGGACTTGTATGCCAGTATTTCCAGGGCTTTCATCACGGGATTTGTCTATCTACAGCGGTCAGCTTGGATACAAATGGACGGCACTGGCTTCAGGAAGAGCCCAGGAGTGAACGAGCATTCCTTTTACATCAGCAACCTTTTTGTAACGGACATCTGGGAAGTCACCATCTTCCCAATAATCAGCAGTATTGAAAGTGAACACGGGGGTGTTGGAAGACTACCATCCTCTTAAAACCAAAAAACAAAACTGCCCTGGCCCAGTTCACGACTGTTGGGATAGGGGTGGGTGAGGCATGCTCAGAAGAGAGCAAGGACTAAATTCAAGGGATGGGAGACCACCAGCCAGGTATTCAGGACAAAATAGTTTCTAACTCGACCGTATCTGCAGTCAGGGATCCCCAAGAAAAGAGCGCCTGGTCATGCGTGAGCTCGTTTGCCCCATGAGCTCCATGGAATTCGGGCAAGTTTGGGATGGCGTGCTTGGCCCAAATCCTTGATTAGAGTTAAGATTGCCGCTAGGAGGTAGTTCGGAAACATCAAAATAATTATTTAGTGAATAGTAACAAATGAAATAGTGAATGGGAATCGTGACTAGTGAATGGGAATAGTGAATGGACATACGCCTACATGGCGAGGTGACTAGGTCCAGGTGAGTTGTGCTAAAGCTTAGGCCCTTAGGCTTAGCAAAGCAAAGCGAAACAATACTTATATGCTAAAGGGAAGCCCTCGACTCGATTGGCCCCAAGTCTGCCCAACGCAATTTCCATAAGTGCCAATTCACTAATTTTAACTAATTCCATTCACTATTGTTTCACTAATTGTTTGCTCAAGATTGCAGTCTTTTCCATTTCACTAAATTTCACAATTTTCGCTAAATAAAATTAATGAAATTTAGTGAAATTTAGTGAAATTGCATGAATCCGTTTCTAAACTTTCATTGAATTTCACTAATTTTACTAAATGTTCCTAGAGTTCATTAAATTTCACTAAATTTCACTAATTTTCACTAAATTTCACTCATTTGGGTTTGCAAAATTTAATAAGATTTAATGAACTTGAGTGAGATTTAATGAAATTTAATGAAATTTAGTGAAATATAATGAAATTCAGTGAAATTTATTTCAGGTTAGTGATTTTTGTTTGTTCCTGTTAAATAGTGAAAACTAATGAATTTTAGAGGTTCAATTTCACCTGGTCTCTGGCGGCCAGCGCTGACTCCAGCAACGCATCGTGCCATGAGCCGTCCATTGCCGCAGTGTCCGGGCACTGTGTGACAGTGTAAGACCCCTCATGAGACCTGAGCTGTTGTAACTAGGGCACATCACAAATGCAAAGACCAATTGGCCCCCTTGCTATTTCAATTCACAAACCTGGGAACCCACATTCTCAATTCACTTTGAAATCACAAACTGCAAACCCATGTTTCCCAATTCACAAATTTGATTCACTAAATATGTCATTCTCTATTTTGATTCACAAACTATTTCACTGTATTTCACTAATTTAATCAAAACATGTTTCAGTGTCTGCCTGGTCCGGCAATCTTGAGATTAGAGTGGAAGGATGGGAGGGTTGGCACTGGAGACTTGATGTCATCTGTACCAAAAGTGTCAAAAATCAAAAGGCGGAAAAGAACACGTGGAAACAAAAGCTGGTGGAGTCAATGAAGAATGGAAAGGATGTTACATTCAGTACGCGTGGCTGGCTGGCTTGCTTGCAATTCAAAGCGTTGGCCCAGTCATCCAACGCGAAAACCGGGAGATGCCGAGCCCGGAAGCCCAGCGAAACCGCTGGCCAGGCCTTGGCCGGACACCACATGATTCGTTTTTGTTCTCATGTTGCGAGGATGTGTCATATCTAGTCAAATATCAACTCAGCTGCAACCAAGTGGATCCCAAAGGGACCATCCCCACTCCCCCTCAAACAACTCCCTGAGGTTCCCAGTGAAACCGCCAGAAACCGAAGGCCTGCGTGATGGCGGTCTGGCGCCACTGCTCCATGGTGAGCTGTCCAGGTCGGTCGATGGCCAACGAGCTCTCGGCCTCCTCAAGGGTCATACCTCGGACAAAACCGGCCACAACCACCGAAAGCCACCGACTTTTTCTGGGGGATCCTCCAAATCAGCTGGTAACTCACTGCTTTCTGGGGGATCCTGGTAACTCAGTAATTTCTTGGGGATCCTCGAAATCAGCCGGTACCTCAGTGATTTCTGGGGATCTGGTTTGAATTTTGTTGGCTCACTGATCAAGCGAATGACCGCAGCCGAGGAGCCCATGACCAACTCATGGGTCCGGGGGTCCAAGACGATCGGCACGTCGGCTACCCGGGTGCTGGGCACAGAGTTGGCCTCGAGGGAAATTCTCTCCACTCCTTTGGCCAAACGCGCGTGAGGCCTTAAGACTACAATGGACCAAGCTTCAAAAGAGTTTGTTGGCTTCTTGTCTTTTGTTTCTTCATTGCTACTGTTATTATTGTTACATTTTCTTTTCATTTTTCTTGTTCTTTTGTGGGGGGGTGGACGGGTGGTGGTAGGTTTCCCATTTCCTGGTATTTGTTTTTTTTTCTTCTGCAGGACCTGTACCTAAAAGCTCGGTCGACCCTCAAATAAAATGGCTGCATCCCCCAGGTTCTCAGCGGCCACACCTCTGCAAGGCCCGCAACGGCGGTGGATACCACCGGGATGCCCCGGAGCTGCGCCTGCCGTCTTTGGCCGCCATGGGGCTGACACCCCAAAATCATGTTGACCCCGGATTAACAGGGATCCTTACATTACACACCTCAACATTGCCTTGTAAATGGTGGCTTCCCTTTATTTTGGTGGAAAAAGCCATGTTTCAAATGGGCAAAATGTATCTTTTAAGGAGCCCTGATTAACAAACCCCTTTGATTAATAGGGGGGTGTCCCCTTTTAGTGGGGATTCAGACCACTTTTGGAGGGAACACCCCCTTAATCATGGGACGGGTTTATTAATCCTGGGTCAACATTACACAAAACTCATATGAGCCGCGGTCGAACTGAAAGAAGTTCCCTCAGGACATGAGGACTTTAGGGCTCGCGCCCCGCCATGTCCCTCTCAAGTGAACAGACTGACCAAACCTGCGCCCTACGCCATAACGAGGCAGGGCCAGAGTCGAGTCAGAATGCAACATTGCTTCAAAGATCCGATCGGCAAAAGGGTGGACAGTTGCAAGCCGGCAAACATGCATGAGTCTCCTTCAATACGTGAAGCAAGCAATGGAAATGCAAATTCATAACTTATAATAAGGACGCTGCAGGATCGCTTTCACAGGTACATGTATATGTAGCTTGGATATGCCCAAATGTTAATGTCTCCATGTTTGTAGAGATGCATTGCTGTCGTGTGTGAGGATACCCTTTTCAAGTCGGTTTAAAGCGGAACCAAAAGGAACACCTTCATTTTGGGGGGTTCCTTGATTACAATTGTAGCAAGACACTCCTTGTGGCAGTTTCTGTGACTGCTTTGGGGTCCGCAATTGCAGAAAGGTGATCCCCTGGAATTGCCAAATCTGAGCCCATCTCTCTTTTCACCTATTCTTCGTAGTCTTGGCCCATCCTCAGACCTGGGGATTTGGTTTAAAAGATGGCCCTAAGCCATCAATTTAATTGCGTAAATCTGGCTAACTGAGGAAACAGTCACCCAAAGGGTGGGGGTTTGGGGGTGGGGTGTCTTCATAAGAGCCCAAAATACATTTTTGTTGGTGTGAGGGGGGGGGAATCGGGATCCTAAGGATCTGGTGTGCTTCGCATAGGCGATACTCAAAAGCAGAGAGACTTCAGATCTGGAAACCAGGAAGTGTTTACAGTGAGGATAGAAATACAAAGTTATGTATTGGCCCCAACTTCAGCCCAAACCCAAACCCCACTAAGATTGGTGTGACTGTTGGCTGACTGTTGCCACTGTGCTTGTTGCTTTTGTGTTTTGCTTGTTGCTTTCTCTCTTCTTCTTTTTTGAGGGGGATCATATTCAAGCAGAGCCTTTATATCATGGTCCAGACCTCACTGCCGGCTCAGATGCCTCCGTGCAAACCAGGCCAAAGGCGTCGGGGTACACCGAGGGCGCCAGCAGCACCTTTGTGACCTGCAAGGTTTGCTGTGGATGCACGAGATCCGCTTAGGCACCGCGAAATGAGTCCACGGTTGAAACCATAACGTTTGTCTAGGTCCTCCAGTAGAGAGCTTAGAATAAGGTTGTCTATTTTAGTAGGGGAACCCTCCCCCCAAGAAGGGTAAAAGGGCACTATTGGGGGAACTAGTTGTTGGCATTTACAGGGGAATCATCAGAAACCAGGGTTTCTTAGGTGCAGGATTTTGTCTATCCACGGTATCACCGCCATTAACAAGATGGTGGAGTTTAAGATGGTCCAAAACTGGTGTCCACTCTCCCCCTAAACTGCTTTTCAGGGGGAACAAAGGTGACGAAAATAATATTGCAAGTGAGCTAGCCACATCCAACCAAAACCGTGGTAAGCGGCAGCAAGTTGTGGGCTTTCCCTAAGGAAAAAAAACACAGGCTCGCAAACCTTCTGATCCAAGTGGGCCGATGTTGCCCCTTTCAGCCAAAAGGACACGGTGCTATCTAGAAGCCTTGTTCAACCCTCTCCCTGGCATCAACTTACCCCCATCAGCTTCCTTCCAGTTTGTGGTAAACGGAGCCCGGTGTGGAGGTTTCGGGGTGGTTCACCCCATTTGCCCTCAATGACCAGGGCTTCATTTTTTCCACAAGCCACCGGTCCAAACCACTTGGTAACCTGAGCCCAGTGGGCTCCAAGAGCACAAACAATGTTACTTGCCAGCGGATTGAATTATCTCAGCTTTCGGACGGACCTGGATTCTGTGACGTTAAAAAAAAAAGCAGACCTCCGTAAAAGAAGGGACACTTGGACCTGCTTGGGGGAGGAATCCAAACACGGAACACTAGAGCCGTGGATGTGCGACAAGCAAGAAACCACTGGTCCAAACCGAAATGTGTTTATTCGCACAATTGGAGTGGTACAAAGTCATGGGAATCCAGAAACGTCAAGTATTTCATACCTTGATATTCTCCTTTTGGTGAAATTGGGGCTGTTTGGCACCCAGAAGTAGTTAGCCTCCTACAACTCAGGGAGCTGTAAGCAGGCAGCGGCCGTGATATATTTCCAACCAACCTTTGCACCATTTAGATGTGCAACAACTATGAAACTGCAAACTATCATCCTTCCAAACATTGACTTGTCGGCCCGTTTCTTCGCCAACGTTTTCTCTTTTGCGGGAGGCACCTCGCGTTCCCGCGAGGCCGAAGCTCCTATGCTTCGGGCTTGACCCTGCCACAAGCCGGGCCTTCAGGATGTCATCGATCTTCTCCGAGGCCGCTTGGATCTTCACGTTCTTCAGTTTCTTCAGCACCTGCGAATCGCGGAATGGAGTCGGAATCGAAGCGCTCACGGCTGCGACATCCAGAATGAAGGCGGGACCACCCACAAGTGGTACCCTGAAAAATGATACATCCACCCTTGAAGGTCTGGCTCAGAGGATCCACCCCGAAGGAAAGCTGAGGGCGAATGCCAAATTCGTCAGACATGTGTTTTTTTTGGTTTTTTTTAAATGGACCCGTTAAACAGGGCAGACCCCTGGCTGCCCCGATTGCCAGGAATCCAGTAGAAAAAGGACACCATGCTCCTTTTGGGTTGCCCATGGTTGCCAATTTGCATGCGGGAGGCAAAACAAAAAGGAACTTGGAGGGACTGGGGATCCGCAGAACAAATATATGTTCACCCCAATCCCGACGCCCTCACCGTCATTTTTGCCGCGCCAGCCCGTTACCTCAGTGTTTTGAAGGATTCGGCCAGGATGTTCTTCCAAAAAGGCTTAAAAGTCCACTAACTGAACGAAAGGGAGCCCCAATTTGGTGCTTCCTACCCGCACCGTTAATTTAATTACTATTCTCCACAAGTCGAAACATGGCTTTAACACAAACAGCAAAAGAAAGCTGTGACGGTCAGTCCGAAACCCATGCGCTGAACTCAGCGAACCGTGGCTCGTCCATTGGTGATCTAAAAGTGCAAATCGAGTTCGGAAAAGTATATGAGAAAGGTTCCCGTCTTTTTTAGTGGCCCCGAAACCCTTCCATATTTTGTTGCTTCAGTTACATGTTCAGGAACCGCCAAACCCTATACTGACCTCAGCGACCGGAACTGAGCGCCTGCTCATGCCAGGGCTTGCTCCAGGTCGTAGTCTTCACCGCCAGGAACTGGACGTCCGGCAGCTGCTGCGCGAGGCGCAAGAAGATGCCTGCGGGCCAATGGGGGAACCCGGTCCTTCCATTTGGTTCAGACCCCTGGAAAATGAGAAAATATTTCCAGTAGTGATAGATTCCCTTTAAAACCAACGGGGGAAAAGAAGAAAATATCTTATTCAGCAAAGGGAAGTATCCCGCAAAAAATGGACACAAGCCGGAATCCACCAATTGGGGGGCCTGTGTGGACATTGGTGCCAGGGTGGGGGGAATCCACCTTAAAAATGTATCGGGGGTCCCCCTTGGTGGATATCAAAATTCTTTAGGGACTTGTGTCCACCAACCACTGATGAGGTGGTTCCAACCCTTAAAGTTCGTAGCTATAATAATCGAGAAACCCAACTCTAGGCCCCAAAGAAGATGCCACAGATTCGGTCAAATACTGCCGTGGACATTTCATTAGCCCATGTCCCATGTTCCCTGTGGCGGATGTAGCTTTCCATGCAAGGGTTCCATGGTCCATTTCAATCAACTCCTTTCCAAGGCTAAACTAAACGGACCGGACCCTGCTCGATGTTTTTCTGCACCTAGCGTTGAAACATCCTTCTTTGAAGGAAAACATGAACCAATGAGCGGCAGACTGGCAAAGGAAGCCCAAAGACAGCCCAAGCAACCAAAACCCTTGCCCTCCTTGCGCCCTGAGTGAAAAACCCAGGTCAAAACCCCGTACCCCAGTGAACATCCCAATCCCCACTAAAATAGACTAAAATGGGTGGTGCACCTAATTACCCCAGAATGGTACCATTGGTGTTGACCCACGGCCACATACTTCCGAGCGGTTTCGCGTAAGCACACCTGAGCTGGACTTTCACTTGCCATGTTCACTTTTTACCTGACCTGGACAAAATGTAAGCCAAACTCGGAAAACCTAAAGGTCGGCGTGCAAGTGGACTGAAAACCAGCTCAAACTGGGTCCAAAGCAACATCCTTCAATCTACTCCTGAATTAATCGGTGGCTTAAAGGGGCCACCGACCCTGGACTAAGAACCCTCGAAATGCAGCCACTTTAACTTTAATGGACCCAGGAAGAAGCAATGCTTTTGGGCACTATGTTTGTGGCACGGCGTGTTGATCTCAGTGCGGAAGCGGCAGGGGAAGCAATAGCTTGCTGGTTCTCAGTGATTCAACTTGGGCTTCGGGAATCAACATATGCATGGGCTTCAGGGAAGCCATAAGGGATGGTGCATTTCTAGGCACCCTCCCCATTCTTTCCAGGCATTCTTCTGAAGCCTCCGGAAACCCGGGAAAGTCAGCTCTTAAAAACAAGAAAGAGTTCGATGGTTGAAAAGAACTAGGGATCACCCTCATTCTTTTCCAAAAAGTCTGAATCAGGAGGAATCTGAATCCCCCCCTAGAGCATTGGATGGTCATCCCCTCATCCAATTTCCTCCTGAGAAGCTTCAGCCAAAGGGCTGAGACCCTTCTCCGGGCAGGGGGACACGAAGGTCACGAAGCTGTGCTTGCCTTCCGTGACCTCGAAGCCCGCCTGACCAAAATGCGAGGATCCGTCCTTTGAATGGACACAACTCGGAAACGGGGGTGAAACCAGGGAAAACGGGGGGGGGGGGGGGGAACTACTGCACATAACCGGGTGTCAAATACGGGTATCCGGAAAAATCAGGCAGTTGTCCATTCCCTTTTGGCTTCTTTTAGGAAATGCTGGGCCATATAGCACCCGAGCAATTCACAAAAGTTGAAAAATAGAAACAAGGGTTCGCCACGTAAGGAATCTTCATCTTGGGTGAGCTCGTTTGAAAGTTACCTCGGGTAAGCTTGTTACAATTGTCCTGACCACAACAGTGACTAGGGGTGTGGCCGTGCAAAGGCTTCAGTGGCTTCTTCTGTACCTAGAATGAAGGCCAAAATGAAGGAGCCACCTTCCCACCAACAAACTTCCAAGCTTATACACCGCTTTTGGACATGGAAGACTTGTTCCTAAGGGAGACTTGTCGCGCGCCGCAAGCTTTCAAAGGGTGCTTGGCCGCAGTTGGGCTACACGCGGCATAAACAGCAGTAAACAGGGTCGTTGAGACAAATGATAGTTCACAAAAGTTGTGGGCTGTCCAAAATGGAGGGTTGGCCAATCCAATTTTTCATCATCCAAACACGGAAGCCACCACAAAGAGGACCCTTTTCGTCACCCAAGGTAAGGATTAAGGATTACCTTTGAACCGCCCAGAAATGAACAACAAATATCAAGGAATCATGCCCTAGAGGAACCCCTTCAGACCTCAAACGCTGCTCAATACTTTCACCATGTTGGGACCCCTGGAAAAATTAAACTTACTGCTGAGGGGGCTGGGGGCCTCAAACAATCTCATGTCAGCATGTCAGTTCAGCAAAGCACCATGCTCAGCCACCAAACCTCTCAAACATTGCACCCCACCTCCAGATTTCATTTTGCGGGACCCCGCCCTGGCGCAGTTGTAAAAATGACATTTTACATGCACCCCTTTGCCCTCCCCCCTTCGAATTGCATATGCATTGGGGGGTGGGATCCCCCAAAATATATAAAGTGCACGTGAGCCATCTTTCCGGAACGGGTGTGGGGAACTGCCCATTCTGGAAATGCAAGACCTTCCAAATATCTAAAGGTTCCCTCAGAAGTGGAGGTTGATATGAACGATTTAGTATATTTTTTAATCTGAAGGTTCCATGGTTTAGCAGGAAGCATGCACCAACCTGAGCTTCGCAGCCCAACCCTGGGGCCCAGGGGAGCAACCGGCTAAGCTTCCCACCGGCAAGGGCTCGAAGAAGCCATAGTCCGCGCTGTATGCGCACAAAGCGCGGCAGCCTACCGCCCACTTCTCCACAAAATCGGCCAGGTGCTGCGACGCACAGAAGAGCTCGAAGGCTTCGCACAGGCTGCCTCTGATACAACCCTGGATTCTGTCAACATTGGCAGGGATCCTTACATGATTGCCTTGTAAATGGCGGTTTACCCTTATTTTGGTGGACACAGCCATGTTTCAAATGGTTGCAAACTGATTCTTTTAAGGAGCCCTGATTGATGTGCTTTGTTGTTTTGTGGCAGGGGGAACAGCTCAGCTCAATAAAACGAACAGAACCAACCACCCGAGCCGGGCCCCCTTTCAATCATCTGTCAACGAAATATGAGTTCGTTGCTTATTTTTTTCAAAATCTGATCAAAATGGGCAGACACCGAGAGAGGCAAGAACAAACTAACACGCATGAATAGTCGATTTTGAACCAAACCCACACACTAAGACACATGAACCCAACAAAGGAAAGAAAAGAGGCTCCAACAGGATCAACCAAAATGGACAAAAGGTCTGACACAGCACGCCACCCATAACTACAAAAAATGCCAAGGACCGCAAAGCCGCTGTGCTCCTGGAGAGTGGAGTGGCGGGCAGGGCCCTCTTGTTCCAGACAACACAGACTCCAGAAGGGAATTCAATGTGTAGAGGGGGGGGCTTTGTGTCTGAATCTGTTGGTTACAAAGGCAAAATGTAGCCCCATGATTGAAGAGGAGGGGGGGCTTTGAGTTGAACTCCCTCTATGAGCAGCCAAGGGCCACCCGTGTCCCCTTCCCATGAAGGTGGGGCATCGCCTGACCTGTTTCTAAGTGGGTCTCATCATTTTTCCAAGCCCCTACACAGAACGTACCCCTGATTACTAAAGCTGGCGCGTTACTAGGGGGTTGTGTTCCCCAAGATCCCCCCATTCCTTGACCAGAGGTTTGTTCATCAACAGTGTTCCCACTACGTGCTAGACCTAAATAATGGAAATGGCCTCAAGCATGCGAGATTCGACTCCAAGTAGAACGCCAAGACCACCGGCTGTCAGATCCATCCATCTAGTTTCTTGACCAACCAGACTGGTTTCGACGAACCTGAAAAGCCGCACAGTGACTCATTTGCCTTGTAAGCGGTTGGGCCCAGCGAATTTCACAAAAACCCGTGGACTCCCCGCCCGGCTCACTTTGTAGCTTCCTTCCTTCGTGCCGTAACATGGCCATCTCGCTTCCGTGGATTGGCCGATTGGCCCAAAAAGTCAAAGCGCGAAAAGGGCGTCCCAAGCAAGTTTTAAGTCCAGCGAACTCTTGCTTCGGACAAGTTTGGGCTTCATCTTGAAGAGAAATGTGAGGGGTAGGCTCCAATTGTTCCAACTACGTAGTCTGGAACTGGCAAACTGTTGAAACCATACTGGGGACTTCTGTTTAAAGGTGGCTAACTTGGTGTCAAAGCAACTCAAGGCTCCCCATACTTTTCCTCCTGCACATCACTCCACTTCAAGGAGCTAATTTGAGGGCAAGAAAGAGGTGGTGCCCGGAGAAAACAATATCTTCAAGAACGAGGTAGGCAGTTTGCCCCCCCAAGTGAGGGACCCTAGAGCCCACCCAACAACAAAACGCAAGGGTGGAGGGCCTTAATAAGCCTTGGTGGAGCCAAACAACGAGTTGGGGGGGGGTTGAGACTTTGTTTGTGGGTGGTGCTTATTCAGGGTTGATTCAAATGGAAAACAACAGGAAAACACCGCCCTAGAGGCTCCCAAAGAACCATGCTGACCATGCTGCGAACCTTGCAAGTTGCCTGCAGTCGCCCGAGCCCACCCCGTCCGCTGGTGGCTCTCCCTCTCTCTCTCTTTCTCTCTCTCTCTCTCTCTCTTTTGTTTCTTTTTCTCTCTCTCTCTCTCTATCTTTGCCTTACTGTCACCTTCTTCAGGCCAACCTTTTAGACGTGCCTGCATGTCCAACCATGGCAGCCCCAACCCCCCGAAAGCTCCTTGAGTTGCTCTGGGGTTTGCTCCTGACCCCAAGGCCCAAAGGGCAGGTTGTAGTCGTGCACTATGGCCACCCGTCTCTTCACCTTCAAAAGCGCCCCCACGTCCATCGCCAGGCGCAGGGTGCTGCAACAAATGCCTCTCCAGCAAAACCACCCCCAACCAGCCAACAGATCGTTCAAATGCCCCAGCAAACCCCCGGAACCTTAACCCCTGCGCAGTTTTCAGGGAAATATGGGGACCCCTTGGCTAATTGAAATATAGGGACCCCGGGCATTCTTCAGGCATCTCGAAGGGACATATGGGGACCCCTGGGCATTTTACGAGAAATGTAGGCCTTGGCATGTTTATGAATGTTTAAGGTAAATGTATAAGGACCTGGACATTTTGTAAGTAAATGTGAGGACCTTTGTGCGGCCCAAAGTCTCTCGCTGGCCCAATGTCTATCTTTTAAGCATTCCTGTAAACTGGTTGGTTTCCGGTTGTGCCCATTTGAAAACCCACCATTCAAAAAAAACAGGGGGCAAAGGAAGTCATGCACAGGAATCCTTGACGGCCAGTTCAAAGATCACACAACCAGCCCTTATGTCACAAAACGGGAAGGATCCACTCAACGAATAGACCCCCAATCAAGCAACCATGGGCGTTCATCATCATTGGGCTCCTTGTTGCCTACCGTGGCTCCCCAAACGGAGTCAAAAGGATAGCAACCCTCCCAAAACCCAACCAAGCAACTGACGACCGACCAACTGACCAGCTGACCAACCAACCAACCAACCAACCAACCAACCAACCAACCAGCCAGCCAGCCAGCCAGCCAGCCAGCCAGCCAGCCAACCAACCAACCAACCGCCAATACTCGCTGCGAGCCACCCCCGGGCAAAAACATTCCAATCAAACTCAACAACAACTTCTCCCCTACTGCTGCCCCCCCCCCCTTGAGCAAGACAAGCTCAAGTACAACTGCCCCCCCCCCGAACCGACAGAGAAACTGAGAAGACGCTCCGTCCCAGGGGCACAAATCCCACACGGAAGCCGGGAACTTGGTGAGCAGCTGCTCTCGCGAGCCCCACACCGCCGCCATGGGCGAGGGCTCGTTCAGCGAAACGCTCAGCTCCTTGGGGCCCTGCTTCGGCGGCGCCTCACACGCGGCGCGCGCGGCCGGGGGCCACCCGTCCGTTCGGAGCGAGGCGGCCGAGTCTCGAAACCCCAAAAGCCCTATTGAGAAGCAGCAAGCTAGGCAGAAATAAAAGGGATGCATCGGTTTGCACACAAGCCACATCTAGCTCTCTTTCCAAACGGTGAAAGACCAGGGTCAAAGCAGATAGCACAATTTCAGGAATGTGGGTAAGTAAAGAGGATGACTAAACCCAAATGAGGAATTGTGCCAGCTTTCGCCCAACTGTAAATGGCATCAATCCGAAGGGCAGGCTAAAACCTGAACAACAACCGCCGCACGCTGTGCAGACGACTGTGCACCTATGATCTCCGTTTGACATCATCCCCATCAAAAGCAAACACGCTTATTAACCTGGAGGTCCAATTGATACAGAACAAAATTCTCGATCCCATGTTCATTCGAGCGCTTTTTCCTGCGTTGAAAGCGAGCATGGGGAAGGCTCAGGCAGACTCGAAGAACGCGATTCAGCACATGGGCGCGTCACAAATCGCGCAACTCAGCTGCAACTCCGCACCATCAAGCGCATGTTTTCTAAAAAATGCTCAATCATTTTCTGATTTAACGGGCTTCCCTTCGTTCGGACTCAAGAACGATGCGGCCGCAATTTTGTCCAAAAAGGGGTCCAGTAAATAAATGTGCATCAGCTGGTCCTTTACGTGCAAGTGGTCCAAAAATTGAACTTTGAGATGGCACAAAAGGGAGCTCACTTCCAAAGTGCCTTGAGCAAAAAAGGCAAGCTTTTTGTCTGCCACTAAAATGGACCTCCCAAAAAACAACAAGTCCAGGAACTCAGAAAGTGAGGGCCATCGAAATCTAGCTTTTCACCACGTCACATTGCATGCCCATTGGAGAAGTATTGCCCTCCCGGCCAGCCTTCCAATCGAGGATCAGCAGGTCAACCTTGCGGACAGACTCCTGGGCTAGTCTCTCATAAGCTGGGGGCAGGGGCGGACGTCGGCAGAAACAAACTGTGGAGAGAGAGAGAGAGAGAGCAAGAAAGAAAGAAAGAAAGACAGAAAGAAAGACAGAAAGACAGAAAGGAATGAAGGAAGAAAAGAAGAAATCAGGAAATGAATCAAGAAGGAAGGAAATAAATAAAGACGGAAAGAACTAATTGAAGAGAAGGAGAAAGAGGAGCTCCCTACCTAGTAACGCATCTTTGGGAAATTAATCTTTTGGCTATGGCCCTTGAGCAGGGAATAGGGGATCGGACCAAAAAAACACCAAGGGTCCCTCCCTCGAAGCTGGGTTTCCTCCCGCCGAAACTCAGTGACGGACTCGCCTTAGGTGCACCATCCCATTCCAAGTTAGCACTTCGCTGGCCGATGTCGCTCGTGTTACCCCCCGAGCTCGGAACCCTTGATCCCAATGCCCTCACCCTATGGACAATGTGCCTACGCCTAGCACGTGATGTTTAATGCCACAAGGGAAACCTAGAGAACCTTCTCCATCCCAGCTCCGGCCGGAGTCATTTTTCGTCTCCTGGCGGAGGTGGCGCAGCATGGCGCGGGTGGATGCGGTGCGGCCGCTGCCCGGGCCCCGTAGCCTCTTCTCCAGCGTCTCATCGAAATCCTGTGAGAAATCCAGTCAAAGTGAAGCATCGGCTTTGTCTTTGCGGCTTGCCAAGAGCGCTTTGAGGGGGGGGGGGGTGAAAAGCAAGTCCAAAATCGGACTCAAACAATCTCAAAAAGAAAAGTGAAGGATCGGCTCTCAAATGAGACACCCCAATCCGTCACCCGGGGGCGAACTGATGGTAAAGCATCCGAAAAGCGCAGCGGGTTTCCAAAAAGAGGGTTGGGACAAGTTGGAGCTGGTGGGACTTACTCTGACATTTGGCAATGACACCAGTCGAAAATAAGCGCTCCCTGTGAAAGAACCTTTGTCATGGCATGTCATGGCTAAGGCTGCGCACTTCAGGTAACTGATGTAGTCATTATTGATCCGCGTGTGAATTGAGTTCAAAGGCATCCACACAATGCGGTACCCAATTGTGGGGCCCAATGGCGACGGAGTCTCTGGGATGGTGACTTGGTATTCCACGATACCCCATGGCAAGGCATGATCAATGCGCCCTTTCGCTTGCACTCCCTGGCCCCCGACGGCTTTTTTCCCGCGAGGGGCCTGAAAGGTGGCGACCACAACTACGTCCATCGCTGGAACGCAACTTGAGCCTCTCTATCTGCCGGCGTCAGCCGTGTCGCCCGTGCACAAAAGGGGATGGAAGGGGGGAGGAGGGGCGGAACAACGGGCGAAGATTGAAGCGCTCTTCAGCGGTCTCCGACCTAATGCGGTTGCCGAAAACCTGTTTGAATCCCATTGTCCAAAGGACCTGCTTGGGTTTTGACGAAGTCAGGACCTAGACTGGGGAGAGCATGAAGATCTTTCCAGCTCAATGCTCTTTAGACACCCATGTTTCGCCCTGTGAAGCAATTACCGGATGAACAAGCAAAATTGGATGCAGAATATGGGGTCAAACAAGCAAAACACATCCCTTTCCTTGAGGGCTCTTTGATGTGAATGAGGGCAGTATTGGCGGTTTTCTACCCTGCAGATTAACAAGGAATCCTAACACAAGTACTTTAAGTGGGATCTTTGCATCTCCTTTTGGAGGGCATGCCCCCTTTTTGGGGTCCATACCAATCCAAGCTATGATAGGGGAAGCCGGCCCAGTGCCGTTAGAGTCCCATGCAAGTGCTCCATTCTCGCAACAAAACCTGGATCTGGAGAGGCTAAAACAGTTCAATCTTAGAACTTGGTGTGTTTACACCTTGAGGGTGTTGTACATATCCTAGGTCGATGGAAACCCTGCTTTAATTTCGGGCGAACCTGCTCTTCCGAAGTCTCTTTATACTTTCTTCGCCCATGTGACGGGCAATCCATTGACAGGCCGTTCCTTCCCCAATTGCAACCAGTGACTCTGCTTGGGGCTGGTGCTCTTTAAGCGGGAAAACACCAAGGAGAGGGGGTTTAAGTGTGGCGTTAACTGGAATCACTGCAAAAGGGGGACATTTGTTGAATCAGGTCATCCCAGAATGCCCACGGTTCCCCCCCCCGTTGGTATCCACTGGAGGCGTTCTTCGTGTCACCCGGAACCTGGTTGCAACCGTCCGGGGTCCCCGCGCACTCCTGGTGGGCTACCTGCTTCGGTTGGCAAGCGAATCACCAAGGCTAAGCGATTTTGTTGCTTGTACTTTGTCAAACCTTAAATCTCGGATATATGTATATATATATATGTTGGTTCATCAGTTTAGCCATTGAAGAGATGAAAGATGTTACCAAACATTGGCCCAGTTTGATCCTGCACCTCAGGCTCTTCTTTTTCATGTAGACCCGACTGGAAATGCAGAGGATGCGTAGTGATGATTGTCATGATAACTGCTGGTGATGCTGGGGATGCGTAGTGATGTTTATCATCAGGATCATCATCATCATCATCATCATCATCATCATCATCATCATCATCATCATCATCATCATCATCATCATATGACCCGACTGGAAATGCAGGGGATGCGTAGTCATGCCGGGTGTGCATCATCATCATCATCTGATTGCATCCGGGGTGCTAACAGCTTACTTCTCGCGAAGTCCACGCTTTGCATCCACAGCAATACAAACAAAAAAAATGGCCTCCAACATGGTTTTCCTAGCCAAGTTTCCACACACCGGTGGATCATGCGAATTAATCCTGCAGTAGCTTGTTTGAGATGCAGGGCATGCGTTGTCATAATTATCATACCAACTGCTGGTGATGCAAAGAATGCAAAGTAACAGTTATCATCATGACTGCTGGCGATAATGTGAATGCATAGTAATAAATATCAGCATCCCTAATGTTGAGTAATAATTTGCATCATCAAAAGCATGATCATTATCGTGGTGCTCTTCTTTTTTATATATGCTTTGAGTGTGCCGTTAAACCCGACAAAAACAACGCGTAGTCATAATTGTTATAAGCAAGCCGAGGGCGGCGGCACAGGGCGGCAGCCCTTAGATTATGTTCCCTGAAACTCGGGGAGTGAGTGCCAGAATCCCGGCTGCAGGTCTGTGGTCAGGCATGCCTTCAGCCGCTCGATCTCGAGATCGTGATCGCGCAGCCTGCCGCCATCAATTCCCAGTGGCAGCAGAAACAGGTGCATCTGGGTGTGTCTTTTGTAGGGTTGACCCCCAATTTCCCCTTTCGGCTTCCATTTAAACCCGCAAGAAAAGGGAGTACACTCAAAAACGACAGATCCATCTCTTTTTTGGGTTGACATCACTTGCCTACCAAAGAAGAGACGTTTCAGCTGGAATCCATGGGTTTCAACCAACAAAGTTCTCAAAAGCTCGGGATTGGCGGCATCCAGCGTGCAAGAAAACCACCAGGACAGGGAGACTGGATCATTGGCTGAGGCTCACAGCAAGCCTGCAGCTACTAGGGCTTGGGGGGTTGAACAACTTGAATGTGGTGGCGTACCTTATTCAAGAACCAACTTTTTGCCGGACTTGTCTGGTGGCACCCGAAGTCCGAGTAATATTGCGTTTCTCCATGCCATCACCTAAAGCCAACATTAAACCTCCGCCCCTGCCCAACTCAACAAGGCAACCCGTGCCTCTGAGAGAGCGCTGCCCTGTCCCTGGCACGGACCAAAAAGAAGCCCGGAGTTCCATGAGAGGAAAACAGGTTGGCAATTTTTATTTTGTTGGAAAACCCTTCCCCCAAAGATCCCTAAAACACCCCCCATCTTTCCCCAAAAAAGAGAACACCCACAAACCCTTCCCCCAAATAAAGGAAAACCCTTCCCCCCAAAAGGGAACGGTGCCACAGGCAACTGGGCGGACGAACAAGCGGGCAAACAAAATCCTGTGGCTTCTCCATGTTCGACCTCCAAAACAAAAACTGTATTTTACCAAACGCCTAGCTAGTTCAAAGAAAACACAGGGTTGGCAGGATAGTTGCCCTTGCGTGGTTCTTTTGTGGACTATTCTGTTGACCAAGTTTGGCGTTATTTCAATCAAGAAGCTTGACCCAGAAACGGGCACAACCCCACCCGAGGAATCTTGGTGCAAGCCTTCGTTGGCGGCCACCCTCACGAGACCCCCAATCAAACCTCATCTGAAAACGAAACCTTAATTAACCCTTTCACGTGGGTAGTGCAGTGTGGGTTGGATAAGGGAGTCGGCGACACACAGCCGCCAGACGCGGCCGTTTTCCGAGCCGAACCAGGGAAACGCGAGAAGGTGCCTGCAACGCGCCAGCCTTTCGGACCTCAAGATTCTGCTCGGGAGACCTGGCGGCGCATGGTCCAGTTGGCCAGTTTCCGCAGTTCCTCGCCGGCATTCTCGTTGGTTTTCACCTCCTTGACGGCCCAATCCAGGTACTGCTGGGGCACCTCCTTGTAGAGACGGCCCTTGTGGCACCCGTAGATCACCACCGTGTCGTCGATGGGCGTGATCTTGGCCTCCCGGATCAGCAGCATGAGGTGCCCCCTGGTGGCCTTTTCCGGGACGCTCAGCCCCCTCCGTTGGCACTCCGCCGTCAGCTCCTGCAAGGACTCGTGGCCAGCTTCACCAGGCGCTGGCAATGGCTTGGCCACTCCAGGGCTGGTTGCTTCTGCTTCACTTCCGCCTTGATTTGGCTCCAAGGACTTGCAGGGCAGGACTTGGTTGCGGCCCGCTTTCGGGCTCATTTTTTGGGGGCTGGCACCACCCAAGAGGCTTGAGGTCTGCGGCTTCCGAAGAGACAAAGCTTGCAAGCTGAACTGGTTGGCTTGCCGCATCCTGCCAGGACGCTCCTTCCCCTCCTTCCCCTTCCCCTCCTTCCACTTTGTGGGGCGGGGCGGGTCAGGCGAAAAAGTCGAAGTGGGGCCGAGGGAGGTCTGAGGCCGCCTTGGGCGGCCCATCAAGTCATCCACCTCCCCGTCCCTCATCGTTAGCAATGTCTGTAGCGATGGCACCCGCGGCACCTGGACGAGTCTACAGTTCTCCAAAATGGCAAGCGCATGTTTCTTGTTTGAATTAAATACCAGGGCCCACCCTCCTCAGCCTTCTATGGTACGGACACGTTTGGCCCAATTGGTTGCAAACCAAAAACTTTATAAAACCCAAACTAAGTAGATGTGCAAATCCCCGCGGATTTCCAAGCAAGGCCTCCCCGGCTCGCCCATTTGGTTCGATCGCCTCCGGCAGATCGCCCATGGCCAAGGACAGCTGCAAGGTGCGCAGCAGGCTGGACACCGCGGGGAGGAACTCCTGCGGAGGTCGCCTCGAGGAGCTGAAAGACGCGTGCCAGGAGGTCGGCGGGCGACATCTGAGTTCAGACTCTCTTGCGTGGTTAAAGCTTGCCGCTCTTTTTCCAAGCTTTAAACATCCTCCATCCCGAAATGTGTCTGGCACACGGCGTCCAGAAACCCACCGCTAAAAAAAACAAAACAACAACAACAACAACCATTGACAAACACAAAGTTGTCAAGCGCCTCGTGTATGGACACTTGGCGTAGATGTACGCACGTATATGACTTTGGTTGCGTTCTGAAAAAAAAACTGGCGAGCAAGAGTAAAAGGCCGTCTTCTTTTCAAAGTTGAACTAGCAAAGACACGTTAATGCTGCGCTTGGGGCATTCTTAACATCACTCAGCATACATGCGTGCAACGCTTTGGGGTGACGTTTGGAAGAAAACGAAAGGAACCCCAGCAAACGGAGGCCGAAGTCGCAGTTTGAGTTTCAACAGTTGGGATCCAGGCGATGCTTCTCGCAAGCTTGGCCAATCGGTGCCAATGGCAGCACCACTGCCCATGCTCGCTCCCTCAGGATAGGCATTGTGCATCATGTCTGGCCAAGTTGCGTGTAGCTGGCGAAGCTCGGCTCGCTCTCGGCTTCAGGTTCGCTCTCGGCCTCAAGCTCTGCCACAGCCTCACTCGGCTCAAAAAGAGAGCTCAAATGCTCGCTTGAGCTGCTCTCATTTGACTCCATGGCTCCATGGGTTTAACACGATGCTCTAGCTAGCAAGTCATTCGTGCACAATTCGAACTACTCAAACACTGCGCTATTAAGCACGCTACGCAAACGTGAATGATTCTTGTCACTCTCGGAATTTCCGACTTGCCTTGCGGCCCCGTGCTTCCCAGCTTGAGCCCGAACAAGTCAAAGGCTCCGATGGTCGGATAAGATGGGTGCGTTCTTCTTGAATCCGAGCTCCCTTTACCAAGGCTTGCTGGTTTAAGGGTAAACTGAAAAAAGCACAAACACACAAACACACCCAAAAAAGAAACGTCAAAACCCGGGGAGTAACTGATGGCAAAGATTAAACGATCAGGGAACCGCCGATCCGCTCCAAAAGGGCCTGGCCCCTGGCGTCCTTAATGAAGCCAACAGGCAAAATAGTGGCTGAGCTTTCTTCATTGTAACCGTTGGAATCCAACATTTGATGATTGGAGCTCAAGACAGGCACCGTGTTTCGGGATGTGTTGCTTTTTCAAGTGCTCTAAATGATCCAAGAAAAGTACGCCGCACTGTACACTGTACACAGCTGGGCTTGAGTTGCCTCTAGGAGGGAACAACAACACAATACAGCCCCAAACCAGACGTTGCTAAAACGAGCTGATGCAACGCGCACGCTCACGCGCAAGCACGATCAGGAAGCTGGGGTAGTCAAGGTGGTCATGACCTTGCCTCAGCTGCCCTCTGGTAGACTGCAACTTGGAGTTCCATTTCTTTCTGGCGCTGGAACCCCGCTTTTGATGAGGAACGCGAACCCACCAAACAAACGGGATAAATTGAGCAATGTGCCAATCAATTGATCAACTCGGTTTTTTGCGGCCCCAAATCCACAAACAAAAATCGGGCAAACAAAACGAGTGGATCAACCTCTAAAACGCATAAAGAGCACAAGTTCCTGCATCTGGGTTGCTGGGGAACGGGAGGTCGCCTCTCAACAAGATTTCCTTGACGCCCACCGTGCGCAAGCCCAGCTTGGCGTAGAAGCCCTCTCAGGCTGGGACTTTCCGTTGGGATTAATTATTAATTTGGGGCAGGTTGGGACCCTGCCCAATCTTCCGAAAAGGAGCCAAAAGGCACCTTAAACAGAGAATCCCGGAAGAGGGAAGCTTGGTGCATCCTGGTGCACTTGGGTTGCCACCCGATTTTCAGGCAGAAGCCCCACCTCAGCGTTGAGGGAGGAGAAGCATTCGAAGTCCTCGATGCCCTCCTGCCTTGCCTGCTCCACGCACGCCTCGAAAATGCGCCGGCCCAACGCCTGGCAGGGATGCAGCTTATCCCACGCCCCTGGGTTGTTTCCTCCAAACATGTCGTCACATGCGAAAATGGCTCGACATCCTCACAGGCAGCAACTCTACAGTTCCTGCTCTGAATCAAGCGGAGTGTGTGTGTGTGTGTGTGCGTGTGTGCCACAGGATCTGCATTTTTCTGGATAGGTTCAGGGGCCCTTTTGACCGCATCTGCCATTTCCGAGAAGGTGAGCTGGAGGCGGACTGTCAGAGGTTTGGTCAGGATTCTGGAGAATGAGAAAAAGTCACCCACTTCAGTTGGAAACACAGGATCCCCAATGCCATCCATCCTGGGTCAGCCAATCTTTCTCCCATCTCGTTGTGCGTATTTGCTCAAGGCTTGTAGCAAACAGTACACCCTGCTACTTGCCCGTGGTGTTACAAACCCAGAAGCTCTGTAGCCCCTTGAAACCACCCAAATTCATCGGTGTCCTAGTATATCCTGGAAACAGGACCTCCTGGGCGCGCCTTGCCCGTCCAGTCGGGATGCACAGCGAAGTGCCGCAAGTGACCCAGGCCTTTTTCAACCTTTCCGGAGCCGGGGCGCTCCGAAGACCAGCCACCACACGCCACGATCTGAGCCTCCTGCCACATGTTTGTCCAAACGAAATGGAAGTACAAGATCATCAGGTGGTCAATGGTCACTTAGTTGGACTCACCCTGGAATGTCAAACCAAGACCGGTCCGCTGTTGGCAAGGCAGGCTGATCCCGTATTTCCTTGGCCGAGATTCTGTGCAACGGTTTTTCTTTTGGCTTCCCTCAAAACAGGGGGAAACCTCAGAAAAAGACAAGCCTGTTTAGTCTAGCACGAACCCGAACG